ATTTATGTTCTTCCTTCAGAGAGACTGGAATGATCCACCGTTTTACTACCTGCGCCATTATTCAACACAATTAAAAATGCGCTTGCAGATCAACTCTACCGCCATATCAAAGCTTACAGACCCTCTTAGCTCGTAGAGAGGCGGCACATTTGATTCGTCCAATGATGACAAAAATTCCTCAAGTAGGTTTGGCGCATTGGTCTCATCGTATATCGACCGAAGAAGATAGTGCCCCTTGAAAAGTGGAGCTCCCTTGTTCTCTGCGAGGGCCATCAGCAGTCGGTAAATCTCCGGTTTAGACTTCCATTGCAATGCTTGCGTTTTTACGTACGATTGTGGCAATAACAGCTCTTGGAGATCCCAGTTTAGCATCACAATACCTTTCAACTTCCCGAGCCATGTGGGACACCATCGTTGCGGCCCAAATGCTTCTTCAATATGCACACCGTAACGGGAATTCATATTCCATAACACCATTTCACTATTGCGAACGAGCTGCTGAATATTGGAAGGGGAATAATTAAATCCATGAGCAGCCATTGCAAGGCTGGGGTTTGGACGCAGAGTCCCGATGATAGCACCAAGGCCCACGCTCGCAGACGCAGGAAGACCCATGAGAAGCGTTGTGGGTCCATCAGGTGGTTCTGTGTTAACAACAGTGTTTGCTAGAGCCAGATGAAAGTTCTCAAGACCCACAAGACGGAGGCGTGCCGAAGACATTGCGAGGCAGTGAAGAGCAAGGGTGGTTTTGCCGCTTCTTCTTGGGCCAAGGATCAGGACGGCATCACCATTCTCGTTGCAGAGAGCAGCGCCGTTCAACCAAATAGCACGATACATGGGCAACACAGCACTAGCATGCGCCAGCTGCACGAGCCGACTTATGTCATCGTTGGCAAACTCAGCGTCGCTAGGTTCTGTGGCGCCGAATACCCCCCACGAAGAGAGGAGGTCATTGGCAAAGTAAAAAGGTGACAATTCGCATGGAGGAAGTGTTACTTTCAGTTGTCTGGCCGTTACTAATGTCTGCGGCATACTGCCACTAGACAAGCCGACGTGCGCCGAGACCCGACGAGTGACGAATCCGTCTAGAAGTGACTGAGTGAGCCACCGTGTTGAATGTGGTACTGTGGCCTCATCGGCCTCCTCCCAGGCAGCATACGCTTCGCCATGACGCACTGCATCGGTAAAGTTTTCGACCTCAGCAATGAGAGAGTACGGGTAGCCGAGGGGTTTCGGCGGGCCGACGTGCAAGCATACCTCAGTGCTGGTGCGTCCACTCACTCTGCCCTCTGCAGGTGCCGGGTGGAAGTAACCAAAATACTCCAACTGACACCACCGGAGGAACTCCTCATGACTTGTTTCAAGCTTTATGGCAAGTGGCACATGGGACGCAGCAGGGACCTCACGTGAGACCAAAGGCAACCGTATTTCCCCTTCGTGAGGAGTTACTAACTGGCGCCGTAGTGTTTGGAAGCGTAGCTGCTGCCACTGGCGAGTAGCCGCGGCCGCCTTCTGCCTCACACTTCGCCCAATTGTCATGTGGCCTACGATGAAACAATAAATAGGGTATTTTTTTTGTTCCTGGAGAAGGAAAAACGGCTAAGGGAGAAACACAAAAACAAATCATTCTTCCAGCATGACACCAGACCACTGCTTATTTTAAAAAATCAAAAAATATTTGCCGGATTTTTTTCCCACAGGCTTAGACGGAAGAATTTATTAGGTCTACAACATGCTCGCAAGGGAAAAAAAAATCCCTGGGGGGAGAATACAGCGAAAACCATGGAAGGGACAACGTTTCGTTTGCAAATCTTCCCCTACATTTCCTTTGTTTCTGTATCTGGCTGGTTCGGCTTTATGCTTTCTCATTCCGCAGAGTGCTAATTTTTTATTCTCTCGATCAGTGGCACGCAAGACACCTTGAGTATGTGTATGCATACGTACTTCTCTCTCTCTCTCTCCATATATATATATAGGTAGATATGTACGTCATGAAATTCATATCAATCCGCAGCACACACAAACACACACAGACACCCCAAAGACACTGTTGCCTATGTACCACAGAGCAACAACAAGAAAACGGGAGCAGATCCAAAAAGAGCATTTCCTCGCTCTTCTTCATGAATCCCCCTCCCCAAAATAATTAAATAAATCCGTTGATATATACTATTGACCGACGTGAGTTGATGAATTTAGTCGTTGAATATTTGGAGCACGACGGCACATATTGGCCATTAGTTCCTCCTTTAATTTGTGCTCGCCGCACCGTTTTTCGTCATCGGTCTTTTCTTCCCATAAGGCGTAGATGAGTGAACCAATGGCAAGCAGGACCACCGCCAAAGCACTCATATACCACGGTGTGTAACCCTTCTCCAGGTCCCATTGTGGCACAATAATCAGAAGAAGGGCAGTTATGGGCGAGGAAAGCTGACCAATCATGGAGCACAATGTGACGCTGTATTGGTTAAGATACGCTGACCCGATATACGTGAAGACGAATCCCGTTGTGTACACCATGCAGAATAAATAATTCTTGTCACAATGGAAAATGCACCAAATTCCTTCAGTGAAATTTTCCCATGCGCCGCCCACGGAGTTGCTGCCGCCCCACCAAGGAAGGGCGTCCATGGGAAGAGTAAGCATGATCAAGAGAAATTGAATATTTGTCCCACCCGCCAACATCACAAGCTTCACAATTGTATCTGTTCCTTGCATGCGAAGAATGCCCGAAGACGAGGGTACATCCGAAACGTGATCCTCACCGACACCTTCGCAAGGCGTCTCATTGGTTTCATTGGGTTGGGAAGAAAGGGCACCACTGCTGTTCATGTCGAAGCTTCTTTCATGACCACCACCCGACTCTGGGGTTTCCAAGACACCTTCATGGTTGTGGTGTCTGTGTAGAAGGTGTGGCGCCTCAAATAGTGGATCATGTGTGAACTCAATCATATACAAACTCTGCCATATGTTCATCAGTACTGTTGGTGGCACGGAGAAGAAGAAGATCACACTCCACCATGCCTTATCCCCACCGTCTTCCTTGAATCCACGCGCAAACTGGTACGCGGAGGCCGCCACAACCCCACTAATAATGAGGGCAAACGATGTGATTACCCAGCCGTTGATGTACTTCCTGGGGTCCTTCAGGATCCACTTTGTGAAGCCTGCGGCATAGACTGGCACAACGCTCATGAAGAGGGCCTGCAACACCTCAGGTGTGTATGATGCCGCATATATCGCCATGGAACTGTTCACTGCATCCATGAGGCCAATGAGAAATATTAACCACCACCCCCGCACGCTCAAGGCAAACGTTAGTGAGGGTCTTCGCGCCACAATATATACCACCAGCATGACGAGAAAGAATATCCCGAAGAGCAAAGCGGAGACAGCCAAGGTTGTGAAATTCCCTGGTGCACCGTCTTTAGGAAAGTAGCGAAGCCAAAAGTTCAACCCAATGATCTGCATGGCATTACCGCTAGTCACCAAGATGATGAGGAGAAAAATCCAAGCAAGCTGCAGTGGGTGTGTAGCACGCACCTTCGTCACGAACTTCATGAACACCGCAACGGGTGAGGCGTACTGGTCTTCTGACAAAACGAGCCCTACGCCCGTGCCATAAAACGAACTGCCATTCCCCGAAGCCAAAAGGCTCTCTTGGATCTCAGAGCTGGCATGGTGTTGAAGAGTACCCTCTACAACATAATCACCATGGGGAAGAGGGATTTCCTGCTGTTTTGTAACCATCAATACAGATGGAACACCGCAAACGCCTACTACCTTTTGGTTCCAAAAAAAACAACAACGTGTATGTGCTACGAGAACACTACCTACGAATAGAGAAAAAATAAAACTTTGAATGTATACACACGCATACATGCATGTAGGCAAGTGGGCTCAGAGAAGCGACAACAGAAGAAACAAACAAACAAACAAACAAGGAAACACCACAACAAACAAGAAAAAAGAAGATTTGAAGGGCCTCCGCGACATTTTTGTACTCCACTCGGAGGCTCATATAGGCATAGAACAACACGCATGTCCCCAACGCAGTTTGTCAGTCAAGTTTGGGTGGTACTCCTACCAAACGTTGTGATGCTGAGGGTCGATCACAACCACAACCGCGCCCCATGATGTGTTTCGGCCACGAAAGCGACTGCGGCGTAGCACAAAATCCTGATCGTGCTCTGGCGTGAAAGACATAACATATGCCTTTACGCAACTAAGGTTCCCTCTCGCCACACAACATTCTTCCCTAATTCGAAAAACTACACACATTGAATTAATGAGTAGCTGACCTTCTCCATCTCTCACACATACACAAACACACACACTTACACAGACACAGGTAAACAAATTCCGCGTCTATATGTCCATGCATGCTTGTTGCATGGGCCTCATTTTCTAAGGAATGCCACAACTACCCCTGTGAAAGGCTATCAATTTGCTTGAGGAGTTGCACCACTTCGTGTGCAGTGGTCTTTGACTCCTGCTCCGACCCTACACCGGCCAAGAACTCATACCGCAACTTCAGGGCGAGGAGCCGCTCCAAAGAGGTATTACCGTAACTCTCGGCAAGTGCCTTCTCTGCTGAGGCAAAGAGACCAGTCGCGTACAAGTAATCCCGCATATCGGCATAGAGGGATGCCATTCCCAGGAGCGTCCATGCTGCCTTGGGATTTTGCTTTTGGTCAGGATAAAGGGCACGGTTGAGCTGAAGCGCTCGTTCAAGTGCATCACCCGCCCGCTTGCGGCCAACGTCAATCTTCATGGCGGCTGGCTCCCGCACGTCGGAAAATATGAGGTCAGATGACGCCACAACTGTAGCGAGAGGCGACATCGTGAATACCTGACGTGGGAGGAAGACAGGGGAATCACGATTCGACGTGCCTGGGAGCCGTGGGGCGTTTAGTAAAAACGTACCATAGCTTAGCATGCAAGAAGTGTACGCGTCGACTTCAAAGCGCCGCTCCTCAATATGATCCGTTGACATGATGCCGTCCGCATCCAGTGCTGTGTTGCAGGGGCCGGAATAAAACTTGGCAGCAGCCTCGAACTTCTCCAGGACATCCTTGTCAACTTCGTTGGGCTGGACAGACCAGTCGAATATACGTGCCGCCATTTCCGCCTGTGCAAGCATAAAAAGACCCAGCTCAGGCTCCTGCTTGCGAGCGACCAAGCCGTCTACGATCGGCTGCTTTCTTTGTAGAAACTCATGGACCGTTTTCGCCGCATTATCAATGTGCTCCCGGGCGTGTTCGAGGTGGCCCGTCATCGGAATCGTCAGAATCCCTTTGAGCAACAAAAGTTTTGGCACATTCCAGCGGAGATCGGGGCTCTTCGAAGCATGGGTGTCGGCCGCCTTGCGACTTAATCGTAGCAGCTCGTCAATACGGTCCATTACAATGGACAACGTGAGTTTTTCGCTGCTGCTGCCACCCAACCCCTCCATTTTCATCGACCACGCCCGAGTCTCAGTGCCCACTGTTTTGCCAGCACTATCTTGTTTTGCGTGGAATGGGACTTGATGCAGCGCACAGAAGGCACGAACAAAATGGGCGAGTATGACACAAGCCGTGTCTAATTGCTGCACGTCCGATTTATCCCAGGTGTCGTTAAAGTAAAGGAGACGCCCCGCCTGTTTGAGGATAAGGCGATGCACATCCACGTGTTGCGCATATTCGGAGCGTGGTAGATGCTCAACACCATTCAGAAGCTCAAATTTCGTCGCATACAATGGCCGCACAATATTCGCTGTGGCTGCGTTATCCACGCCACCGACATTCTCCATGATCTCCTCCCCACGGGCCAACAGCACGAGGGCCTTGTCACGAGATTTTTTCCACTCCAACGCCGTGGAGGCGTGAGGCGCCGACCATCGCCGTTCCATTCCGCTCGCGGCTGGCTGTAGCAACGCCACAGCATCCCGCAACTCCGGGATTCCTTGCGTCTGGAAGTGAACCCGTGGTTGGAATCGAGGGAAATAGAAGGCCAGGTCAGTTGAGTACACAAAATTTGTCGGGGCACATGTGTCAGCGATTGCTACTAGACGCCTGCCTGTGTAGCGAATCATATTCTTATCACCCCGTTTTTTTTTTAGATCTATTACCTGTGCCAGATCCTTTGTATGCTCCTCGCCTTGTGTGATGAACTGACAGATGCACTCCTCCTTGCGAGTGCAAAGGTCTCTCTTTTATAATTATCCTCCCTTTGAAGCATTGTGGAAAGACACACACGCAAAAAAAAAAAAAGAAATGACCATTAAACTTGACGGAGCCACGCATTTCATACGCATATTACTTTATACGTAAATCGTAGTGATTGCTCATTTCAACACGCATATACACAATATGCATACAAGAGTCTCTTCACGGCCAAATACCAGCCGATCGATTATTGCGTAAATCGCAGTTGCACCGCCTCTTCCGCATTGTCGCTGGCAACAGCAGCTTGATCGGCGTAGTCACGCTTGTGACCGCCTTTGATCGTGGCAACCTGCCCCTTGCGGATCAACTCTACGCGCTCCCAGAAGAGTTGTTCGTCACGTGAAAGCTCTCGCCACTGTTCCTGCCGGACAACATCTTCGTCAATACTACCCTCTGTCTTATTTTCAAACTGTATGAGTGCCGGAACATATAGCGGGTGTATGGAACCAATTGGCGTTGCTTCAGGGTCACAATCTTTTGCATCCAAGGCAGTAACACACGGCACTTCCTCTTCCCTTCGTCCAGCTGATGTTTCCGAGCTAATGAAGGCATCAGCATTTGCCGCGCACTGACTCTCGCCAGACTCTTGTTGCAGCATCTCAGCAGCACGTTGGTGTTTGCCAAATTGAACCAACTGCATCCACGGCGTTGCCGCCTCGTGTTTCAGAGCCTCGAACGCCAATGGTTGAAGTGTATTGGCGTCATCTTCGTACCAGTGTTTTAAGTTTGCCTGCGATTGCAACTGTTGATTGTGGGAGAGGCTTCGGTGAAGTGCTGCCTCTTTCGCCACGCGTATCTTACGTGTTGCATCCCACACCGCCGCCTTGACACTGTCAGCAAGCTTCTCAAGATCCAAGGCAGCTGTTGCGCCCCCATTGGTATTGCCTTCATCGTTCACAGGGAAAGGACCCTTACGATAGAACGGCTCCCACGTCGTTTTGTCAACGAGGCGTACGGCGAGCACCGTGCCATAGCCACTGCACACCACTTCCACGCCCCGGCAATGCCCGGAGAAACGACGCCGCACCAATTCGCGGTGGGAGCTCTCCAGCATCAAGCGATGCTTCAGCACACCTACGAGATTGTTGGTGTAGCGGAATGACATGACAACCGAAGTACACTCTGTTGAGACTCCCCTATCCTCTCACCTATAAACGCCCCTACGAAGTGGCCTACAAGATGACAATATATATATATAAAGAACAGAAACATGTCAACGGGGAAAAGGGGTTTCATAGAATATATGGGATGAAAGGGAAAATGAGTACAGAATACATCCCCACATGTACACATACCCAATCGCGCCAACCATACTAATGTGTGATACAAGTAAGAATGCATGTGTGTATGTCTGCGTTCGCAGGTGCGTTCCGAGGGGGGAAAAAAGCGTCATACTACCTGAAACTCAACAAGGAGACCAAAGTGGTCAGATGGAAATAGGTGGTCAGGGACTTCTTTGTCGCAGTCTACCTGCTTCGTAACTCCAAGCCCACGCACGGAAGTAGTGCCGACGAGCTCCGTGTGAATCGGCTGCAAGTGACGCGATGAAAACAGCACGCGATCCGCGCGACCGAAAAACTCTCGCTCGATAATCTGAGCTGCGTACAGATTTCGGGTTCCGTCAATGGTATACCCCTCTGTGCCCCTGTCCTCTGGATGCAGTAGCTCCCAGGTGTCCTTGAAGCCCAGTTCGGGTGGAAACGTGAAACAATTCTTTGCACAGTCGTTGAAGTCACCCATGATAATCGCACCTGTCGGCACACCACTACTACAAGAACGGGTCCGCATCCGCTTGGTGAGATTTTCAAGTTGTGTCGTGCGGTTGCTAATGTTGTTCTGACTGTACGGCGCGAGCAGGTGCATTGAACCAATCGTCACGGGGACACTCTTGGAGACCGTGATGGTGACTTCTGGCATCACACTTGTGTGGCCCGAGAAAGCGGGAACGTTGGCGTGATGCACAGCCTCCACGCAGAGATGCCGTTTGACTAGCATCATGACTCCCCAAGGGCGGATGGCATGACTGTCCTCGCTGCACGAGAGAGCGTAGCGCCCCCGTACCCACGGCTGCTCCGCAAGATACTTCCACCAGGCCGGCTCCACCTCCTGCATGCCAATCACGTCCGCATCGAGGGCCTCCAGCGTCTTGGCAAGCGCGACGTAACGCGTCGGTGTACACCAGTCAATCCCCTCGCGACCCAACGGGGTGCGCTCGCCGCTGTGCCGGCCGAACTGCACGTTCCACGTAACCACACGCAACGTCGAGAGTTCCCCCGGAGAGGGTGTGGCGTTTGGCGCATGCAACTCCCTACACGGCGTCTCGCGCCAACCGCCGTCTTTTTCTGAGACAGTGGTGGTGTACACAAATAGCGTGTCCTTTGCAGCTACACCAGTGGCGTCCAACACGCGCGACGCTGCCGCCGACGACCCCACACCGGTACGGTATCGCACGTCAAGCGCCGCTGCACGCATGCCCAAGTTAATGCTCTTGTATGCCCACCCCGCTGGCGGTCCACGGGAGCCCGGCATGCGCACGAAATAATGCGATGGGTAGTGCTGCAGCGCTGGGTGCTCCTTGACGCCGCCACCATCATCACCCGAATCACTGCCAGATAATACCTGCAGGATGCTCCGTGACTTTCTGAGCGCCTCAAGGACGTTTTTCGTGCCTACAATGTCTTCTGCGATGCCCGCAGGTAGTGTGTGGCCTTTTGTGAAAACAGGAATAATCTGCTCAATCATCTCCGCCTTGGGAGCACTCAAAAGTAGCGCCTCCATTCCTGTCAAAGCAAATGTACAGTCGACAGATGCTGACATGCCCGAAGAAGCAACTGAAGCAGCAGGCACTGACTCCTTGTCACCCACAGTCATTGTCTTCGCCTCAGCCTGTGCTGCAGCGAGATGCTTAAGATGTCCGATAAAGCGCTCAAGCAAAATTTTAGGAGGTTTCTCTGGGACATTATCGTTGTCATCCGGGGTCCAGCGATAGTTCTTTATACCCCCATTACAGATCATCTCGTGGGTCTGCAGAAGGACTTCAAGATAATCAGCGGATTGTCTGCACGGCCGAGGCGATGGCACCGTCTTGCGTAGTGCACGTGTCATCACCCTCTTAAGCACGGTAGGGCGAAGCAACAAAGATGGGCAGTTCGGTATGTCTTCGAAAAGGTTTCCACTACCAGCTCCTGCAGCCTCCTCCGCAGTGTAGGCTTCCATTAAGTCCTTAAAGTTGACACCTAGACCGCTTAGATCTGTCGCACTGATGCCGTTTGCCATCAGGTATAAGAATACAATGTCAGTTCGTACCGACGCGAGACGCCTCTGCAACTCTTGACGTGCAACATCCTGGCCCCCGGCGACACCAGCCTCACCCTTTAACAAGTGATCCATGGCAAGCCACTCAAGAGACTCACTTAGGGAAAGAGACTTCAACTCGCCCTGCTGCAGTGTCACAGTGGTGATGTTGTGGAACGGCGTGGCACCGAGAGCGGAGAGGAACAAATCGGTCCCCCCAATGAGACAAAAGGTGTCATTGACAGTAACCTCCGCCGGCCCCGATGGTGTAGAGGAAGGAGTAGAAGAGATGGCACCATCTGGCAGTGAACGTGTAGCGAGATCGAGCATCCACGCCGACATTTTGCCCTCTACTGGGCCAGGAACGGCAGCACCGCTCACAACAAACTCCCTCGGCGGCGTGCGTAGGTCAACGGCAACATGGCGCAGCTTCTCCTCCAGCAGGTACACCATCGGCGAGGCGGCACTACGGTAGAACTTCCCCTCGAACTTCTTTCCCGGGTAGAGTCGCATGTGCCGCACCTTCCATAGCGGCTCACTGCCATCAAAGAATATCGCAAGTGACTTCTTTGGCTGAATGCGGCGCAGAATGACGTTTGTGATCTGCCGGTGGAGAATCTTGACGGACTCCGCGTCACGCTCCTGTCCAATGAGATCGCGCGTCAGACGACCTGCGGCGCCCGCAAGGTTGCCGACATCAATGGCGACATGATCGAAGTTCCAACCGCTGCGATTGAGGATGTTGTTGAACTCGTCCGCTATCTTCGACGATGTCCGGTAGTCAGCAGACCATAATAGACGACAGCGATGTAACATTTGGACGTGTGTGAATCTTTACGCCCTTCTCTGTAATGAAAACAAGACGGACGCGAGGCTGGAATCTTTTCCCCTCGTCCTCCTCCTCCTTCTCTTATTCCGATTCCCTCTCTCTCTCTCTCTCTTCTGTGATTTATCTGTGGGTGCAAACCCTGGCGTGTGTATGTATATGCGTGCCTTCGCGCTGAGCGCCCCGCCCGTGTTATTTTCTCTCTCTCTCTCTCTGCAACACGCAGAAAAAAGACACCAGCAGCAAACAAACAAACAAACAAACCAAAAAACAAAAGGAAAAACAACAACAACCAAAACACAGAAAATACAAAAGGCCAAGGAATAGGGCAAATGGCACCCATCAGAATACACAGCTCTCCCTCCCTTCCGTCTCACTGGATCTGTCTGCAGGGGACCTTATGTGTCTTACGCATGATTACACTTTCACATCTTCGCAATTCACGCAATAAGCGAACACACGGAAGAACAATACAACCGCAGGGAACCTTCTTTTTTTTTCTCCGTTTAAAAATTGCTTGTTGTCTCCCTTGTTCTCCTTTTCTTCGAGTGAATTTCTGTAACATGCTCTCCCAATCTCCCTCTGTTTTAGTGAATGTGTATGAAATCGGCCACTCGCTGTCGCTTGGCAACGGAAGAAAGAGCCAACTCTGCTTATTCGCGCGTTAAATGCATGACCCGCACCTGGCTTCAGACGCCAAGGATGTTAGTAGCGCTGGTAAATGTACGAGCCAGTCGTCTCCATCGCCACGACGCCTCCTTCCGTTCGCGCCGTCACCTCAACCGCCGTCACCCCCCGCTCACTGTCCAGCACACGCACGCGCAGCTCCCCCGAGAGCGTCTCCCCACACTTCAGCGGCAGCGGCTGGTGCAGCCCAACGCTTGTCTCCGTCCAGGGGTTACTGCCGCCGGGGCGGATGCCAATTACGAAGTTGGCACCAGGGTCATGCGGATTCGTGAAAGTGGCATCCACAAAGAACGTCAGGTAGTTCACGGTTGCGTCGCGTGTGACCCGCACGCTAAACGGGACGGTGAAGCCATTGTCATGTGCCTCGCCCTCTCCTGGCGCCTTCAGGTTATTGATGTTGACGGTATGCGCAAGACAGGTGCTCGTCACAATGTTTCCAGCAGGGATACTGCACGTTTCCACCTCTTGCCGCACAAGCGCCTTCATCGGCTCCATCGTAAAGCCGTACACATTGCTCCAGTACTCAACCGTGTCGAGGTGGAAGGCATAGTCGCTTACACCGAGAATGTGCACAGAGGAGCTGTCGGGGCACATCACACCGTTCTCTGCGAGGAGGTTGTCGCGCGCATAGCACGCGTCATCAAGCAGAGGATCGTTCACCAAGAAAGTGCCCATCCACTCGCACAGAACAATATCGAACTTCTGCACGGGAAATGATGCCATCGTCTCACGCAGAGATCCACGGAAGAAACTAATGTTCTGCAGTCCATTCTGCTCCGCCACCACCCGTGCCGCGTCGACAATGGCGGAGTGGTCAATCGCTACAACGACCGATGCCAGACTACGCGCCGCCATCATGGAGATGAGACCCATTCCACACCCGAGATGCAGAAGTGACTTACCCTTGATGCCCTTCAGTATGGACTGGTAGGCACGCAGACGAATCCGATCATGGATGGCATGAACATTGCTGGATATGCGGGCCGTGGGATCGCCGTAGAGACTCTTCGAGGTTGCCGTCTTCTCGTTTTCAGTCGCGAGTAGCGATTCATTTGCGATGATTCGCTTTACTGGCTGCTTCTTGCCCGCTGCGTTGTTGTTCGACTTCTTCTGTTGGCCTTGGCCAGAAGTGTATGGTGGCGGATTCGTCTTTGGGGGCATGCTATTTTTTTCCTTTCCTTATCTGCCTCCCGGTGACACTGTTTGGTGGTGTGCTTTCTTTAAAAGAGGAGGGAGCAACATCAACAAGGAGACCGAATCGCAGTTCTCAAGGAACCATACAAACAATGGCATACGCGCACACTCAATATCGCCATCATCTAGTTTTCTATGTTATTTGTCTTTCTCTTGCTCTTACTGCACTTCTCATGCCATTTCGCGTTACAACTTGCGCTGTGAAGTGGTTAAATGGTGAATCACCTTACTGTAGCAGATGCTACAGATGCGCACCGCGTGGGTGGCGTCGCGCTCCTCATAAAGGCATATCAACCAAGGTGGTAACCGCAGAAACCGTCCCCCACAACGCGAACACACTGCGCGGCCGCAGTGTCGACAGGCATGCCGACGAAAGAAGAACGTAAATGGTGCCGCACACACCTCACACGACTTGGACTTTGAACGAGTCATGTAATTCTCTTTCTCAATGCGGTGCGGCATGCTGCTGTCACTGCAGCTACCACAGCCACAGGATAATACAAAAGGACGTTTTACATCCATTGGACTGCAATTGACAGGGTAGGAGAACCCGGTTTCTCTGCTGCCGCTTCTCTCGCTTACAGAGTCAGCCCCTTCCACAGATAACATTGCAGTTAGACTAGAGGTGGTGGTAATACCGAGCGGTGCTGCCAGCAAGGTGTGTTCATCGCCGGGGCGAAGAAGAGGTGTGATTGGAGGGGCTGCTCCACCAGCACTCTTGCCATCGTAGTTGAGATTGGGGAGCCCTCCGCACGCACGCGCAGCATGGGAGGTAATGAAAATGCGTTTTCGAAACATGGTGCGCAAACGATACTTCTTGGTGTTCTTCTTCCCCTCCCCCTGGCCCCCCTCTGTAGTTTCCCTCCGTGTCGTTACGGTGTGCCAGAGCCAACTGTCAATGAGCGGGACCAGGTGCTCCAAACCGGGGCATACAACATTGTTGCCTCCCGCCATATCTGCGAAGCTGTAGCAGCAATACAACGATTGCCAGAAGCGGTAGCGACAACTCATAAAGTTCGGTACAAGACGGTGGGTCAGATATTTGCTTCGCAGTGGAGCGGGGGTTGTTGTTGATTCGCGCGCCATGTGTGCCTCTGGGTGAATGTAAAATGGGTTCAACAGCTTCTCCTGTGCAGGAACACACGCCGAGTCTTCACGCTCATTGCGCACGAGCTCTTCAACTTCACCCCAGAATGACGCTGTGTGGCGTGTTACGCCACCGTGACGGTAGCGGGAGCGGTGACAATTGTACAAAAAAGTGCCGAACCGACAACTGTACACTTCGTCGAGTATATATTGCAAGAAACGTGGCGTAAACTCAAATTCACTCGGAAAAAGACAAAACAGCTGATACACTGCGTCAATAAACTGCACAAACACAGGGGAAACTTGTGTGCTTTTACCGTGATTATGAGTCGCCGANCTCCCGCTGCCCAGTGACGCCTGCCCACTAACTGTCCTCGTTGCTGCAACTGAAGGTGAGTTGCCATCTTCACCAGCGGCGGCCATTCTGACGGAGCCGTCACCTGATCGGTTGTTTGCGCACCGATCACCAAACCGATGGCCCAACTCCAGCCACTCACGCATGATGAGAATGCAGAACCCTTCAACGGTGCGGTAGTACCCATCCATCTGCAGCATGGCAAGTGAGACTACCTGCGAGGTGCGATCCCATCCATCCGTACAGTGCACCAACACACTGTCACCCGCAACGATTTTCTCCGCCACGAACCAGGAGGACCAGATAATCTTGACAATCATCTCCGGCCATCCTGTTCCATCGAGCTTCGTCCAGAAATGGCTCCCTGGGACCTTGTTGTCTGCCACACGCACCGCATCATTGCGCTGAACAGTCACACACAGCTTCGCTAACTTGGTGAAAGTAGCACGCACGGCATGAATATTGTCTAGGCCTAAGAAGTGAATTTCTGCACGGTTATAATTGCGCACTATCTCATATCCTCCGCCCGTCGGAAAGTTCGCTGCTGCCACTGCACGAGAGCGGCAATCGATAAAATGCAGTCGCCCTTTCTCCGACTCCGTATGTCTAAAATCCGTGATGTCATTATCCTCACGAAAAGGTAATGGTGGCCGTGTCTTTTTACCTCGTGAAGAGCCAGGCGCAATCATGCTGTCGCAGGAGGAAGTATCGCGGTCAAACGTCAACTCCAAACCCGGTTGTGTATCATTCGTCTTGCCTACGCCAGTAGAGATCCAATCCCCACCACTTTCCTTCGTACTAGCGAGAAGACTCCGTTGTCTTTTCGGTACCCTGTCCGCCTTTACCACTTTTTGGGAGGGTTCACTCAACCCTCGTTGCGCTCCATTGCTTGGTTGCTGGAAGGCCGGAGTTAGGAAGCTGCAAAACAGCGCGTCAGCATAACTTGACATGTGGCTACCAGAACTAGGCTGAGCCGCTCTAGAAAGTGTTGCACCCGTCTCAAGATGAATCCACGAAATACTTGGAATGCGGCCATTGTGTCGGTACTGTGCAACGCGCTCTGCGAGATCCACCGTGACACGGCGAGGGACAATAATGCTGAACGGATATGTACTAAAGAGATCCGCCCGCGAAAGAGGGATTATGTGAAACCAATCCGAAATGTCCACTCCTAATTCAGGTTTGAAAGCAACAGTCACATTGCTACCATTTTTTGTCCTTCTATGTTGTGAAGAATTCTGTTCTTGTTGTTTTTGCTCCAGCAGCTGTGGAAGATGTGTCATACGGTTAAATTCCTCTTCAAGATTGTAGGCATACCACGCCGAGTCGTACTGGTTGCCGCCATCGATAATGCTGCATCGGCCCACATTGTTATTTGTTCCTCTTATTACCCTCAACCGAGTCTCGGCCTCCAGTTGTTGCATCTCTTTACAAGAGGACTTCCAGTAGCTCTTGTTTGATGCTCCTCCCTGACCTGACATATCATCGCACATTGGAAAACTGGTGCCGTGATGCATTTGCAATCGGTGATGCTCTTCAGAAATGGCACGTGGGACCAACTCGGCAACGCCACTTCTAGGCATCACTTCCAGCATGGAAAGAAAGGGCCGTGCAGCAGGAGAGAGGCCGTCTGCTTCTTCCAAGTGGAGCCCCATCGGCTCAGAAGAAGTCACTGTGGCCTTCGCGCAGCCGCAGCTCTCTCCTTCTCTTGCCGCATAGTTTGAAATTCCCACTTCTACCGCCTTACCTGCATCGCTTCCTCTGCAGATGTCGAGCGACCGAGTAACAACTCGGCTTTCAGAGGCATTCATGAACCCCCTTTCGTCCACGCCATCCTCGTCAGCAGAAGCACCTTCGTCCCGAAGAACCACACCCGTGTTGCTTAGAGAAGACTTCCGCTTCTCCTCTGCGTGTGTGTTCGCAGCACACAAGCGCTTCAGGGCCGAAAAGTACGCAAAGGCAAAGAGGTCGTTCGTATTTCGCGGTAACGCCTTTTGAATGGCCTGCAGTACCCTCAAAAGGACCTCGGAGGAGTTCACCACACCCACCACACCATTCGCTGTAGTGCACGGCGACCCCACCTCTGTGACATTAGCGGCCGTGTTGTACATCGCGTTGAGTGCGACGAGGCGGAAGGCCAGTGTCATCTTGCCTTTCACCGCGAGCCACGCGCAGTCGCCAGTGCGGTGGTGTCGCACACTCTCAATCGCCGTGAGCGGGAGCTCCACGGGCTTGTGGCTTTTCGTCACGATGTGGCGGACGCGCAGGCGGTAGTTGGACACAATTACGGAGACGCACGACTCTGGGGACAGGGACGACAGGCCCAGAGCGCCGCCACTGGCGGAATATGGTGCCAGGTAGAGAGGANCAAAGGGGGTGATGTAAAGCGTCTGCTCGCCGCACAACGCCATCGCACGTAAAGGAGGGAATTAAACCACAAGAAAATCCTTTTTTTTTTTACAGGCAAAAACCCCGCCCCATCAACAAAAAGAAATCAGCCAACACAGAATAGAAATGCACCGACGAGAAGTGCGTCACAAGGGCAACCAAATATTATATATGGAGTGCAGAGAAGTGCCTAGACTTGCCTAACTCACCCCACCACCTGCTCATTATTTTGTGTGTGTATATGTGTGCGTGGCAAACAACGCAAGGGAGGAAAAGAAAGAAAGAAAAAAATATCTTCTGGACCTGGCTTTGACGGCATTATTTCACAACAGGCAACATTTGTGCAGGACAACGAGGGTGGAGCACAGAACAACGACATCCGCAACCAAGAGGTTTGATGCATGAAGCTTTTACACACCCTCCCTCCTCCTTTCTTTTTTGTAGTTTGTGCTCACACTCATCAGAAGCAGCGCAACATATACCTGCCGCTAGTGCTTCTGCTGCTGCTGCTGCCGTCGTGACACAAAGAAGTCTCTCACGCCTCTGAAACACTCACCAAAGTTGTGCGCCACCCGCACGGAGGGATGCATCCACGACGCGATGCGGCGCCGCACGTCAGCCCGCTCTCCGTACCGTACATCCATGAGAATTACAACTGCGTAGTCACCGGCGTGGCGAATACAACGACCGATGCTCTGATTTACAGAGCGCATACAGAGATCCGTGAAGAGGCCCCACTGCGCCGGCGAGGAGAACGGCATAAGAGCGTCATCCCCAACCACGTCGGCGTCTGCACTCAACGCAACGCCAGAGGTGCCGGCTGTAGATGCGGCTCTCGAGGGTGACGGCGTCTCCAGGCGTGTCCTGGCGATGTGCTTCAGATACAGCTGCAGCTCCACATCGCTGGGGTTCGCGTACGGAAGCCCCACCACTATCACTGCACGGCCGAGGTCGTCGTTGAAGTTGATTCCCTCCGACAGCTTGCCGCCCATGACGGCTAGCAGCATTGCACCACCCGTTCCGCCCGCACGGATCCACCCCGCGTACTCCTCCAGCATTGCGTCCACCGTATTCGCCTCAGAGCTAACACCACCACCACCACCACTACCACCTCCAGCAGCAGCAGCAGCAGTAGTAGTAGAAGAAGCTGTTACACGGCCAGGTTCACGGAAGACGCGTTTAACGGCATTAATCTTGTCGTACAACCCAGAACTCTGCAGGAGCGCCACAAAGAGATCCTGCATCTCATACGAGGTGAAAAAGACAATCATGCCAGCCGGAATGACACGGGAGAAGTTTAGAAGAGCTGCCCCAACTTCCTCAAAGTGGCGCTGCCACTGCCCACGTGTTGTGTGCTGCAGTTCCACGCGCTGACCACTGGGACCGACCCCTAATGCAAATACCGCAAAAGATGACGACGGCACGACATGGCCCTCCTCCGTGAATCGGACCTTTTTCACGGCCGGTGCCTGTCTCTGTTCCTCCTCTCCAGCAACAACATCTTTGCTGTTAGCATCCCCCGCGTGTGTCTTGCATGACAGCGAATTGGTTTGTTTGAAGAGCGGGTCACATGTGAGAGCCAGTGGCTTCATTGTTCCTCCGGCAAGCACCGCCGCCTGAGCTTGCTGCAGCACCGGAAAAAGCGTGTGCGTTCCAGGCTCCAGTTGCAGCAACTGAAGCATGGGGGCACCCTCTTTCTCTTTCTTACCCTTCTCAATGGCCGATCGCCGTAACACAACGCGTGTGCACTCATCTGAGCGAGCATACCACTGTAGAAAGGAGTCAAAACGGCGCAACGCACTTGTCACAGCCATGCGATCGCGCACCAACGACAAGAAGGCGCTCTCACCCTGATCATTGTCTGGTTTGTTATTACTTTTGTTGCTTATGCACGACTTATCCGTCTCATTACCCTCTGTCCATTTTGTTATTGCAGCACGTATATGCCGCTGCTTCTGCGACTGCTGTCGCTGCTGTTGTTGTTCCTCATTCAATGAAAGAAACGCCACCAAGCCGTGCAACTTGGGCAGCAGTCGGCTTTCGCTTAAGAATGCAAGGAACCGATACACATTCACCGTGTCCACACCGGCGTCAAAGAGAAAAGACGAAAAATCACACACATTGGCACCAAAATTGCTACTCTCGGCGGTTGTAGATGATTTTTCCTTTACGTAGTGCACCAGCTTATCGACAAATGCCACCATCTCACGAATACGCTGCTTGTTGCGCGTGAGGAGTCTTTCTTCGTACCGCGTGTTATACCCGTTGAGTAGAGCACGCACAAGCGACAGGTCTGTGGCTGTCAGTGCAGCTGATGTGGCGCTGCGGCAGTACTCAACGATGTTATGCGCCTCATCCACAACAATCACGTCATCAGAAAAACAAGGAGGAAGTGGTGGTGCCTTCTTTCGGGGTCGGTGAACATGAGACGACGAAGCGGTAACCACCGCAGAAGGACTTCTTGCTTCCTCGTTTTCTTCCTCCATTTCAGCCGTCGCATGTTCGTTTGTTGCTGTCCCCGCGAGCAATGCGTGCCGCATTTCCGGCGAGACCAGATAGCTGTAAGGGATGAGCACAACATCCGCTCCTCGAATCATTTCACGTGTAACGAGAAATGGACACGCACCTACACGTCGCCCGAGGTCCCGCATCTCTGAAAGTTGACGCGGTGCAATGTCCACATAGTCCCGTAGGATGTTCAGTCTCTCTCGCTGACAATAGCCGCAGCCGTTTCCGCTGTTGCCCGCGAAAATGTTGTCCTCTATGTCTCGGAGTGATGATCCCTGGCTCCTTTGCAGCTTGCGTGCCGCCCGGCCTTCTTTGGAGTACTCGTACTTCATTGCCTCCAGGCACAGTTCGTTCAGGCGTTCATTACTGCCACCGGCAGCAGCCTTCACTGAAGCATTCAGACACAAATGCTGTCGCCCAGCCACATGAACATAACGCAGTGTATGGGGTTCCTCATCAGGACTCGCCGTCTGTTTCTCGCCAATCACAACATGTGGTCGGCGGCGCACTGGATGCTGCGCAAACACCGTTCGATGCAGTTCCTCGTTAAGTTGCTGCAGCTGCGTGTGTGTGCGACTGGAGAAATACACTTTTGGCTTCCGCAACGCCTGCCACACTGTGTCCTCTTCTCCGTTTTCTTCTTCGTCATCGCTGTTGACTAGGGAAGAGCATGCAGAAGACGACGAGCTCGACATCACAGCTGTGTACAGCGACCGCTCACCCGCCTCCTCACCAGCGTCCTGCTCCACCAAGAAGGCGTCTTGTTCGTCAGGGGCATTCGCCACCCCCCTCCTCCCCCTCTTCCTGTACCCCCGGTGCTCTCGCTGCCTTTTTTGACCGCGACCGACTTCAGGTGTTGCCTCTGCCCTTTCTCCCGTGGGCAGTTGATGTTGTTGCGGCTGCTGTGACGGCTTCGCGTCCTCCACCTGTGCTGCGATCACTGGCTCAAATATGTGGGACAGCACGCTGTTGAGAAGCACCTGCGTCTTACCAGTTCCCGTGGGCGACTCGAGCACCACAACGTCACCCGCCGCCAAGCCACCGCGTATAGCTGCCATGGCGTGTAGCTGCAGCGGGTACGGCTCAAAGGGGAAGGGGACCCTGAAAGGCCCAGCATCGTACATTTGCCTTAACACAACGCACTCAAAATAACGCCTCTATGCAAACCGGTAAACGATTGTGACGCGAGGAAAGAAAGATTACAATATTTCACACGCTTCAGTTATGAAACAGCTCCAGGAATATCCAGTACACAACAAACGAATCATCATAAGCAGAGAAAAAAAGACCCCCCAAAAATCAGCGGAGGAACGCCCCATAGGGGGATAAAGGATTAACTACATGATAAAAAAGCGGCCACGGAAAAAGTTAGATCCGACCATACCGATCAAAAAAGAAAAACGAAAAAACAAAACTATATATATATATATATATATATANAAAAAAAAAATGAAGTGTAACCACATCATTTACGAAGTATCATTTCCTCCACGGGATCCCCGTTTGTGTATGCGGGAACGATACCACACGTGGTTGGCGCACCACTTCGCGCCTGAGCCACATACCGTGCTTCTTCGGGCCCCTTGGCGTAGTCGTGCAGGTAGGGATAGGAGCTGTACATGTTATTTGGCAAAGCCTTCCGTTCTTCACTCATGGTGTCGTACACACATGGAAATTTGGAGCAGTGGTTTCGCTCATCGATAGTGCTTGACAACAGCAAGGCACTATCGTCATTAATGGTGCCTTTGGCGCGGGCCCCAGGAAAGTCCACCGAGAATACGCAGCAACTTTTTACAAACGAAGTTGCGACGTTCACGAGGGGCTGCTCGTACATCACATACCTCTTTTGTTTTTTCCATGGGATAAGCGGGGAGAAGGCGCAGCGATACGCATCACCGCCGCTATCACCATCATCCTCCAGCACCGAGTACGGAATGAGTGGTGAGCAATGGAAGAAAGCCACAAATGCCTTTTCTTCCCCAGGGTGTATATTCTCTTGGAATATAAAAGGCTCTCCGAGATTTGCTCGGCGAACAGCAACTGTATCCTCCGGTTTAATCTCCACGACGTTTGTTAACCGAACACGTGTTTCGTGCAATGTTTCGTGAGTGTCGTTGAGAACCTTCACATTTACACAAATTGTACTGCTGTTTGCACCTTCAATACCACTAGCAGCCGCAACGCTGTCCATATCCTGTACAAAAATTGTTGGTTCCNAAATTGTACTGCTGTTTGCACCTTCAATACCACTAGCAGCCGCAACGCTGTCCATATCCTGTACAAAAATTGTTGGTTCCAGTGATGCCTCAGTAATAATAACCTGTCCCGCTCTAGGGCAGCAGAAACAACTTAAGCACGAAAAACTGTGCAGCTGTGCGTGTGACACCAAAGACGTTTTATTACCCTCGCCCATACGCTGCTCGTACAATGTGCGCGGAATTGCAGACAGCAGATAGATTTTCTTGACGCATTCTGCATCCAGGCCAAAAGGAATATCAACGTATGCCTTCACTGTATACGTCATGCGCGCCTCACCGCCATCCTGTTTGCAACGCACCTCAAAACTTGGTGGAAGAAAGGCAGGTAACTCCAACTCAAACGGATACCTGTAAACACCCACTTGAAGCCGCTGCATGGAAGTCATTATCTCCCCGTCTTCATCATCGACATCATTTAGTAGAAGTGGCGCCCTATCCATGCGCTCACCGCCGCACGAGTCACCCGCCAGAGTGTACACCTTGTCGTAGTGCACACGCGAGGCGAAATTGAGCGACAAGCCAGACCGAACTTTGGCGTACTCCTCCCCGCGAATGCGCAATCGAACGCCACGCCAAGAGACGTCCTTCTTTACTACCACCTCCACAATTCCGGAAAGGACGTCACCAGGCACGTACTCCGTGGACTGTGCATGCAGAGTGAGTCCAATGCCGATGTTGCTCCGCTCCAATAGACCCATAGTGCCAGGAATAGAATGTCTGCAGCCAAGCCAATGGAATTGAACAAAAAGACAAAGAATCAAACAAATAAAGAGAAATTTTTGTTCTTGTGTGGAAACAGCAGCAGCAGCAGCAAGACAAGACACAGCAGCAAGCAAATTCGCACAAGGGCTTTCAAAACACCATTTTCTTTCTGTTTTTATAATGTTTTTCCAAGCAGCCCTTTTCACCAACTCCGGAGCTGGCTCTCTCTCTCTCGCTGCGTCATACACGGGTATTTATTCGCATAACGTTATGAAAAAGATTTAACTGACACACCTCACGCATCGCCGCCTCCCTCGCTCCATCCCCTCTCTTCACCTCCACTCCCTCCCAGTAGGTCCTTTTCACACGTCTCCTTGCTTTGCTCCTCTTCCACCACTTCCTCAGCGCCTCTTTGAAGTGCTCTTTGCTGTCACTTCACTACCGCCTTTCTTGCCTCCCTCGGCCTTTACACGTGTCGCTCGAACCGGCTCCTCGCCGTTTTCAATCGCCTCTACCACACGCTTCCGCTCCTCTCGTTTCTTTTCCTCCCGTCCAGTGTGGAGTCGCTCTGCGTCCATCAGAAGTGCCGCATTCTTCGCAGCTGTTTTAAACGTCTGGCCGTACTCTTCGCGGGTGCGCTGCAGCTGTTTGCCCATCTTGCTACGGAGGTCCACACCGTCAATGTGACTCTCCTCGACCCCGTTAGGCACACTCACGCCGGCGCTGTTGCTCTCGTTGTCACGGCTAGCCAACAACACCTCATCAATTGGCCCAATGGGAGTGTTGTCATCGTTCAGCAGCCAGTAGCAACCTGATGTCGATGGGGTGGCAGAGTGCAGCCGCCAGCTCTTCACTGCCTGTTTACTACGGTCATTGCCGCTGTTCCGATTAGGAAAGACGCGAACCCGCTGCTCATCCACCGACACCTGAATTGCAGTGGCGGCAACGGCCGGAGCGTCACAGCTGATGAACTTTACTAGCTTCATTTCACGATGGCGCTCTACTTTGCTCAGCTACACCTCTTTCTTCCCCGTTCTTCGGTCCTTCGAGCAGTCCAGCGTTCCCTCCTCAGTATCTTCTATACATCCGCATACGCACACCCACACAGCGAGAGAGAAAGAGTGTGTGTGTGTGAGAGAGAGAGAGCAATAAACAAGGAAAGAGACAGAGACTGGACATTTGTTTTCGTTAGTCAGTTCTACCGTGTTTTTACAAACAATACGGCTCGCAGGTGCAGCAGCACGAAGGGGCAGCTCGGCACTGCCATCGGCGCGGCATATTGTCCGGGGGCGACGGAAGGAGAGATGAATGCATCGCCATTCCAGAAGTGTGCAAAACACATAGGCATCCATGAGCAAGAAACAACAACAACAACAAAAAAAAAAGACAATGGTGCGTGCTGTGCATTGGCCAATTTGAGGGGTGCGTGTGCACAGATGCGGTGCGCGCAGCACCACGCCATTCACGCCGCCCGGCTTTGCGGCACACAGCGAGCACCAGCAACACCATACACACAGCACACATGAAAACGAAAAAAGAAAAAGAAAAAAGAAAAGGAAAAAAAAAAAGCAAACTAACATGGATGAACTACTCATTTCTTTCCTGGATTCACTCTCCCACATTCACGCACGGAGTTCCCACTTACCACATTCTCTTCCTCACACCGCACTTCCAGGCATTTCTCCGTGGCCGCGTGCGGGGCGCCGCCACCCACTCACTCGACCCCGCCGCGCAGTCACACATCGCCTCACTCGAGGGGACCTT